CACCTAAGGTGGCGGGTTCGAATCCAGCCCAGGCCTGCCAAACAACAATGACAGGTGCAACCAAAAAACAGCCAGGCGTGTGGCGGGCGCCTGTGGTCCCAACTACATGGGAGGCTGAGGCAGGAGACTCGCTTGAGCCCAGGAGTTGGAGGTTGCTGTGAGCTGTGATGCCAGGGCACTCTACCCAGGGGGAAAGCTTGGGGCTGTCTCAAAAAAAAAAAAAAAAGAAAAGAAAAGAAATTGTCCTATAAAATTTTGCCTCATCTGCCACATTCACCTGAACTCTCACCAGCCGACTGCCACTCCTTTAAGCATCTTGACAATTTTCTGTAGGGAAAACATGTCCACAACCAGCAGGATGAAAAAAAAATGCTTTCCAAGAGTTCATCAAATCCAGAAGCACAGATTTCTAGGCTACAGAAATAAACAAACTTATTTCTCATTCACAAACATGTGTTGACTATAACGGTTCCTATTTTGATCACTAACGATGTGTTTGAGCCTGGTTGTCATGATTTAAAATTCAAGGCCCAGGATGGTGCCTGTGGCTCAGTGGGTAGGGTGCTGGCCCCATATACCAAGGGTGGTGAGTTGGAACCCAGTTCTCAGCCAGCTAAAACAGCAGTGACAACTGCAACAAAAAATAGCCGGGCATTGTGGCGGGTGCCTGTAGTCTCAGGTACATGGGAGGCTGAGGCAAGAAAATCACCTAAGCCCAAGAGTTGGAGGTTGCTGTGAGCTGTGATGCCACAGCACTCTATTGAGGGTGACAAAGTGAGACTCTGTCTCAAGAAAAATAAACATAAAAATAAAATAAAATTCATGGCCCCAAACCACATAGACTTTTGTACCAGCCTTAGTATCTCCAGCTTTTCCTTTCGAGTTCTACTCCTTTTCCTGATCTTGACCAGATAATTAATTCTTCACTGTCACATAGCACTTTGATACTTTTAAAAGGATAATTTTTATATTCTGTCCAGCTTTTTAACTTGTTTTTAGCAGGAATACTGATTCAATTATCTAGTCTACCATTACCATAAGTACTATATTGATTATTGCTGTTCAGTGTTTTCCATAAAATGCTATTCTCAACATCACCAGAGACTTCCATGAGGCTAAACTAATGGTCACTTTAATTCTCACAGCACCTGCTCTACATCAACACCATCTGGCCTCAGGAAGTGTGCTGCTCCCCAAACACTCCTGTGACACCAGGCTCAGCTGAGTCTCCTGCCACTCTCACTGCTCCTTCTGAGCCTCTTTCCCCTCCTAAGAGCTGAATGAACTCAGACTGCTCTCAGGTCTCTGATCCTGGGCCTCTTTGTCTATCTATTCTTAGTTCCTACACTATCTCATCCAGTCTTGTGACTTTAAATAGCAATGATGGCTTGACTCCCAAACTTTTATCTCCAGCGTGGATCACTGGAGGACCTTTAGATAAGACCTGCCTATCTAACATCTAACTTCACCTATCTACTTGAATATGGTATAGGCATTTCTAACTTGAACAGATCCAGATCAAACTCCTAATATTACCACCCCCCCATCAGCCTAGGTCCTCCCTATACTCTTAACTATCAGTTTAACACTAACTCAATTCTTCCAGTTACTATGGCCAAAAACCATCATATCATCCTCAACTCTTCTCTCTCACACCCTACACTGTGGTGAGTAAATCTTATCAGTTCTACCCTTAAAACATATTCAGAATTCTTCAGTGCTTGGTTACTGCGCCAGCCACATGACCGGAGGCTGGTGGGTTCAAACTGGCTGGGCCTGCTAAATAACAATGACAAATGCAACAAAGTTGCCGAAGAACTCAACAGCAACCATTCTATAGTTGTTCAGGCATGTGGTGGGCACTTGTAGTCCCAGCTACTTGGGAGGCTGAGGCAAGAAAATTGCTTAAGCCCAAGAGTTGGAGGTCGCTGTGAGCGGTGATGTCATATCACTCTATAGAGGGCGACATACTAAGACTTTGTCTCCAGCTCAGCGCCTGTGGCTCAAGTGGCTAAGGCTCCAGCCACATACACCTAAGGTGGTGGGTTTGAATCCAGCCCAGGCCTGCCAAACAACAATGACGGCTGCAACCAAAAATTAGCCCGGCATTGTGGCGGGCGCCTATGGTCCCAGCTACTTGGGAGGCTGAGGCAGGAGACTCGCTTGAGCCCAGGAGCTGGAGGTTGCTGTGAGCTGTGATGCCACAGCACTCTACCAAGGGGGCCAGCTTAAGGCTCTGTCTCAAAAAAAAAAAAAAAAGACTTTGTCTCACCAAAAAAAATAAAATAATATAAAAACACGGATCCAGAATTCTACTGCTTCTCACTGCACTCACTGCTACTGCACTGGTCTGTCATTGCCTCATATCTGATTATTGCAAGAGCTTCCCCCGGTTTCTCTGCTTTTGCCCCTATGCATTCTGTGCCTCAACACAGCAGCCAGAGAGATCCTATTAAATCCAAGTCAGATCCAGCCCTCCTCTGCTCAGAAGTACCGAATGACCTCCCACCTAACACAGAAGACAGTCGTTTCCATAACCTACAAAGTCCACACGATCTGGGCTCTCACAGCATCTCTGAAATCACCTCCTGTTACTTACTCCCTATTCACGCCCTTTCTGCTTCTCCTGCCAGTTGAATGTTTCCCGAGATTTTAGTCATTTAGTGCTACCTAACAAGCACCCTAAAATTTGGCAGTTTAAAGCAACCACCATTTACCCTTATGATCTCTGTGGTTAAGACTTAAGAAATGGGTCAGTAAGGAGTTCTCACTCAGGATCTCTCAAAACAGGGGTCCTCAAACTTTTTAAACAGGGAGCCAGTTCACTGTCCCTCACACTGTTGGAGGGCTGGACTGCAGGCCCCAGGACGAGTCGGCCGCTAAGCAGGACAGGCAGCGGTAGCAAAAACACCCGGAAGGCCGTAGTTTAAGGACACCTGTCTTAAAAGATGCAGTCAAGATTTACTGGGCGGCCCAGCACCTGTAGCTCAAGTCTAAGGCGCCAGCCACATACACTAGAGCTGGCTGGTTTAAATCCAGCCTGGGGCCGCCAAACAACGACAACTACAGCCAAAATAGCTGGGCTTTGTGGCAGGTGCCTGTAGTCCTAGCTACTTAGGAGGGTAAAGCAAGAGAATCCCTTAAGCTCAGAAGTCGGAGGTTGCTGTGAGCTGTGATGCTACAGCACTTTACTCAGGATGACAGCTCAAGGCTTTGTCTCAAAAAAAAAAGGGGCGGCACCTGTGGCTCAAAGGAGTTGGGCGCTGGCCCCATATACTGGAGGTGGCAGGTTCAAACCTGGCACCAGCCAAAAAAAAAAAAAAAACTGCAAAAGAAAAAAAGGATTCACACTGGGGCTGCAGTCTGTGAAGGCTGGACTGGAGCTGAAGGACCCACATCTGGGTGGCTCTCTCAGTGAGGGCCCAGGAGCTTCTCCAGAATGGGCAATCCAAGCAATCAAGGGAAAAGCTGCAGTGCCTTTTATGACAGCCTCACAAGTCACACATCATCACTTCCACAGTGTTCTTTGATCACACCGAACCAGCAGTTAATTTGATGTGACAGGAGGTTACACAAAGGTGCCCATAACAGGTGAACACACTGGGGGCATCTTGGAGGCTCCTACCACACACATTGGCCAGCCGTGGGCCTACTTCATTCATGGCTTCACAGTTACTTCAAATGATTTTCCCTAAAATATCCACATGGGCAGATCCCTCATTCCCTTTACATCTTTTACACAAGTACCTCTTTGAAGAGGCTTGTCCTGGCTACCTCCCTGTCTGACATTTTAAACCTCTCTACCTCCCATTTTACAAGCCCCTTCTGACTATACTCTTTCTTCCTAGCATTTATGACCACACACAGACATTTTAACTCATTTATCTTGTTTACTGTTTCCAATCTAGAATGTAAGCTTCATGTGGGCAGGGATTTTTGAGACAGAGTCTCACTTTGTCACCCTCAGTTCAGTGTCATGGTGTCACAGCTCACAGCAACCTCCAACTCTTGGGCTTAAGCTATTCTCTTGCCTCAGCCTCCCAAGTAGCTGGGACTATAGGCGCCGCCACAACACTCGGCTAATTTTTTTGTTGTAGTTGTCATTGTTGTTTAACAGGCCTGGGTCGGGTTCAAACCCACCAGCCCAGGACGGTATATGTGGCTGGCACCCTAACCAGTGAGCTATGGGCACCCAGCTGTAGGCAAGGCTTTTTAAGGGTGTCTCTCACTAATGTACTCCAGCACCTAGAACAATACCTGGCAAAGACAAATAAGCAAAAAATACTGTAAACAATCAAGGCTCAATGTCTTAAGGATAATTTTTCCCGGCTCAGCACCTATAGCTCAACCGGCTAAGGCGCCAGCCAC